GATTTTATCCACCAACGCAAGTATGCTACTACTGTATTAGATTGGTTCAAGCACTTGATAATATACCCAGTTGCGACGCCATCAGACCGTAACGTAAATCTCACCACTGTAATGAAGCCTCAGACACAACACGAGAACGACAAAATGAAATACATACCGTATAGAGAAGTTGTTGGTAGTGTTATGTACCTCATGGTCGGCACGCGCCCTGATCTAGCCTATCACATGCGTGATGTGAGCCAGTTCCTCGCAAACCCTGGATCGCAGGCACGCAACTTTGTGGTGAGCGCCGAGTTCGACCACTCCCCCAACCTGCACGGTTGGTGGAACTCCTGGCGCTGTCGGCGACGACTGCAGAGGTAGAAAATCCGGTGTAGGGGGGCCCTGACGGTAGCTGTTGCGGCGACGTAAGCTCAATACCTGGTAATGGAACTGCTGAAAGTTGTAGAGAGTTGCTTCACGCTGTTAATCGTTTTCAGTGACGGTAGAGACGACGATAGCCTTGTAGACTTGGTGCACTGCATGTCGAGCCGTATTGTTCTGCTAAGTGTAATTGGTGCAACCATTGCGGTCCTTGACATGATCGCTGGAACTGGCGTTTGATAAGAGAGCCCCAGACCAATCCACCAGACCATAGGTGCGTCGATGACTAAGTTGTTGCTTGAACACTGGTGGCTTGCTTTAGATGTTGTAGTGGCAGCTAGAAGCTTGTCGTTGACGATGTGAAAGTGCATGACGTGAAAGTGAGACTTGAAAGTCTTATGTGAAGCGAAAACGGCATCCTGTGCCATTTACGTATAGCTAAAAATGGCTAGACCAACTGGCATTACTAGCCGCTTAAATATATGACTTGGAATTAACTAAATACTGCAATTAGATGTAGCGCAAAGCTAACAACTATGCACCCCTCTGCCTGGTAAGAACAGCATATGCTGCTAAGACGCTCTCTGAGTCGAAGTTAGTGTTGAAGTCACACCTCCAAAACATTATACCTGAACTAAATAAATCCTATATGATTAGGGGGCTCATTTCCAAATATGTCCGCTGGTGCGCAAGTCGACCGCACTGGCCGATCTGCTGCTTGGTTCGAAAAATGAACCTGACGAGGAGACTCCGAATCCGTTGTCAGATCGCTCGTTGGGCGTCCAGAAGCTTCAGAAAACAAAAAGAAAACCTCTCATGTTGCCATTTTGCAAACTGAATGAACGCTTTGAAGGGGTTTTCTTGAGCCAACCGGTTGCCGGTCACCTTTTGCATCAATAATATTCCCTGATGACGAGTTAGGAGAGTGTTGAATCTAGGACGTGTCACAGAGCTGACCTCAGTACCGTACGCTTTACAAACTAATTGTGAAGGGATACGACACTCATGACTCTAAAACAAATGACAATAAGCGACATTATTTAATAGTGTTTTTGACTGCCGTATACAAATAAGAAGACAGTAGTAAGTGTCTAGCTTGCTGCTCCACTAATGCAAGTCTTACTTCCTTTTTTAACTTCTTTATTTCAAGTCTACATTGTCCAAGTTTTTCTTCTTTCGCCTGTGCTCTACATCATCAGTCTATAACTATAATGACAGTGTCAGGTTTATCCGACTAACGGCATCAAATACAGTAATTTGCCTCATTAGCGAAGTCCGAACTGGTATTCGTTTCTTAAGTGAATTGTGTGATAGAGGTGTGATTCAATACGAAAACATATGAATTATCAGAGATTTGCGGACATTGTGTTAAGGGTTATAAAATTATATGACCTCGCTATTGAGGCAAACTACTGTACAAAATCAATCTGCTATTGCCAAATCGCGCCTAGATTATCCTCTCCATATTATTATTGTTTATTGAGTTGTCTTTATTAAGGCTCTAACTGGATGTAGTACTGCTGATATCGGATGATCAATCACGCGATCATACGTGTAGCACCAAAATTGATCTGTAATTTTGGGCGTCGAGGCGGGGTTGTAAAGCAGGGTCCGCCAATACCGTTTAAAATTGTAGTTTTTGGAATAATAATTAAAGATTTCAATTTTGAGTAAGCAATAGTAAATATTGTTGCAATTTAAATTTTATTGTCCAATATATTCGAGTGTTAGCCAAGCTCTTTAACTCTGATTTAAGTTTATATTGTGCCTTTCAGTTATTCTGCCGCAATTATTCTGGCATAGTTATCCCCCCCCCCCCCC